TCAAATTTTGATGAAAAAGAACTAAACAAAAATTAATTGTATTATCATTGTTATTATGATAATACAAAATCAATCACTCAAAATTGGGCATCTTCAAATTATTTTTAATAAATTTAATTACGTGATTTTGAAATACTTGAGCATATCTGAAATGATCTCTTAATCTCTATGATTATTTTTAAAAATAGTCAATTAATCAAGCATCTTTGGATATAGTAATAGAGATAGAAATGTGATTGAAATTTATAATGAACATTATAATAAATTATATGATTATTTTACTTTTATAATTTTATTAACATTTAAAATATATATCTATATTACTATTATAAAAGGGGCTTGAGTTTCCTTCCTCCGGCAAATCTTGTTCATCCATTCTACTTATTTTTTAATTATCTTGGCCGTCCATTCTATTAAAAATATTTAATAAATCAAAAAATTCACATCGCTTTTCAAAAAATTAAACACTTATCTCTTTAATTTCTTCACAGTGCATTAAATCCATCATCCTTTATTGTATTCATCTGAGTTTCAGTAGTCTCATTAATAGCGGAACGGTTCATATTCATAAATTCTTCATTAAAAATCCGAATGAAGAATCCGATTGGAATTTATCCTCAGCGAATCATGGCCCTTCAATTCTCTTAATAAATATAAGTTTTCACCGTCTCTTCGAACTCCCCCGCCATCCCGTTTATTTTTTTTTCCATTATAATTTTTAGGTTGGCGGGAGGTCTCAAAGAGTCGTTAGAGAAGTTCCTCGATGCTGTCACGGATGAGCTCACTTCACGAGAGGAGTTCTAAAATAATCGCTAACATATATTATTTGTTTTTGTCGGATCGAAAGCCATCTTATACTATTGAGTTTTTTTCTTTAGTTATACCTTAGAGTAAAGTCTAAGGAGGGCTATGAAAGGGCAATATACTTGCATTTGGACAAATGGCATCATGTTCCTATCTTGACCTAGGAAAACCCATAGCAAAATCCATGTTCACCTCTTTCCATTTTCACTCTAGAATGGGCAATGGCTACGAAATCTCCTGATCACTAATGCTTTGCCTTCACTAACTAACAAGCTTCACAGTTTAAAATAAAATCTATAGCATCCCTTTTTAATCTAGGCCACCAAAATATATCTTTCAAATCATTATACATTTTACTTCTTTTTGAGTGAATAGTGTATCTTAAATAGTAATCTCATGCAGAACACATTCTAGACCTTTTAGTGAAGCATATATCCCATAATACCTAAAATCCTTATATATTAGATGGAAGAGTTAAAATTGGAGCATAAGTCAAATAATCCTTCAATTTCTAAAAATTGGCCTCACACTCAAATGTCTAAGCAAAAGCTGCTAACTTTTTGAGTCAGTCTCGTCAGATATACATAAATCTAAAAAATTCTCTCACAAACTTCATGTAATATCTATCTATACCCAAGAAACTACATACCTCAAATATAGTTGTAGGCCTTTTCCAATCAGTAATTACCTGAACTTTTGGGAATCAACAGAAATATCTGTACTACTCACCACGTGTCCTAAAAAAGAAATACTCCTTAATCATAACTCACATTTGAAGAATTTTATATATAACTGATGCTGCCTTAGAGTCTCAAAAATAACCCTCAAATGTATGACATAATTTTCTTTAGAAGTAGAATAAATAAAAAAATTATTTATGAAAGTACTAATAAATCGATCAAAAAAAATCTAAATATTATGTTCATCATATTTATAAAGATTACTGGTGCATTAGTCATCCCAAATGACATGTCTAAAAACTTATAGTGTTTATATCTTATACTGAAATTAGTCTCATCACATCAGACTCTCTCACCTTCACTTGATAATAGTCAGATCACAAATAAATCTTGGAAAATATAGAAGATATAGCTAGCAAGATGATCAAATATATCATTAATCTGTAGTATAAGATGCTTATTCTTGATAATGACTTTGTTAAGCTCTTTTTAATTAATGCACATGTGTATCATACCATCTTTTTTATATAAATAGAATAGGTGCTCCCCATAGATACACAAGGCCCCATAGATACACAAGGAGGACAAAGCCTTGATTAACTAACTCTTAAAGTTACACTTTTAACTCTAGAAGCTCCTTAGGTGTCATCCTATATGGAGCTTTGGAAATCAAGGCCATACCTAGAAATACATCAACACATAACTCTATATCTTTAGTCTAAGGAAAACTAACTAACTCCTCGAGAAACACATCCAAAAATATATGCACTATCAGGATATCAGAAAGAGGATCAGAATCTATACTTTTCTCCCAAACTGATGCCAAAAATATTATGCAACTTTTCTTCCATAATTTGTTTGCTTTTATAGTAGAAATCAAACAAGATTGTGCTCCTTTAACTTCATGGAATACATAATCTTTCACTACCTAAAAATAATGTAACTTGCTTCTTAAAGCAATCAATTTGAGCCTCATACTTACTCACCAGCCTATACTAAAATTATATCAAATACATAAATGGGTAATAAAATCAAACTAGAGCTCCACTCCCTATCAAAAATCTCAATATCATAGAAATAGACCCTACTAACTATCATATCATTTCCAATCAATAAAATAATAGGCATAAAAAAGGTAGTAAAATTGAAGACAAGTGCAACAAATCAAATACATTCTTAAAAATAAATAAATGGCTTACTCTAGACCAAATAATATAAGAAATGACTTAGCATAATTGTAGGTTGTATATGTCACAACATCGGGAGCATTGTAAGTCTTATGCTAAATCAAATTATACACATGTAGCTAAATTGGAGCTAGAGCAACTGAACTACTTTGCTCTCTCTAACGACTATCAAATGGTTTACTTGCTACTGAGCCTGTCATAGAATCAGATCCACTACCTCTACTAGATGGTCTCTCAAAAAAATATGTGAAGCAATATAACCTTCCCTCTCCCCACCGATCTAACATAACTCTTAAATCATGACTTAGATTGCATATCCAATCCTGCTTGTGGATACTCGGCTACCCGGTGCCCTACCTTCCTGCACCTAAAGCATTATCCAATCATCATGTAACATTGACAAGATTGTTGTTTGTCATAACTCTAGCACACATGTTCCCCACTAATAAAACTCTTAATAGCAACACTGTCCCTACTCGAAGCTACCAAAGACACAAATTACCCACCTTTCTTGGACTCTCCAGCTATGAATATGCTCTTTTTCCTAAAAATATTCATTGTTAGATATCTCGCCACTGAACCTCTTTCTACTATCATTTCATCGCTGTTGAGTAGTTATTGGATTATTTTCAATCAATTGGGCTCTCTCCATAAGCTTATAAAATTAAAAATATAAAATTGTTGATGTTTAACTCTATCTCAAATTCCTCTTAAAAATTTGTAGTACTTTTTTGTAGGAGTGCTAATTAGATGCTAAGAATATATAACCTAAGCAGTAAACACTGTCTCATACTGCATCACAATCATGCTCCCTTGAACCAATCTCAAAAAAGTCTTCTGCATCTGCTGACGTATAGAAGGTGGTATGAACCAGGCTTGAAACATATTAGATAACGCCTACTAACTAATCAAAGAATTCAATCTCTCTTAAAGTTTTTTTTCTTTTGATGTTCCATCCACCAGCGCTCTGCCTCACTATCTAATAAAAATACTGCAAATAATACTTTCATCTCAGGAGGACACTGCATACCATCAAATATCTTATCCAATCTCCTTAACCAATCCTCTGCTACCTTGGGCTTAACAGGACTCTCAAACCTCAAAAGCTTTAATCAATGATGGATTGAACAAAGCTTAAATAAGATTCAAATTAGGTGATAATACACCGAAGATGGTTCAAATATTGCTTAAATGTAGGTTGAAGAGGTTGCTAAGACTATCAAATGACCATTCATTTTAAAAATTGCATGAACAATGTTTGAATTATGTTTGATCATCATTCAAGGCTTATTCAAACTGTTTGATCATCGATCTAACAACAAATGATATTGGAAGATAACTTTAACAAGACGAGTAGCATGAACTGAGTCTAATGACAAATGAGTTTATATGTTAGAGGGAAAATTCTATTTTCAATCATAAATGACAAAGTGAAGAATATAAGTAATCTTTGAAGAAGATAAATAGGGAGAAATATTTAATCCCCAAAAAAGCTTACAATATAATTCAAGAAAAATTAAATTATATCCACATTTAAATTCCCACTATTACAAAGAGTGTCAACTATAAAGTCAAATTCTCCCATCCATGTCTCCAATATATTATTACTGTTACTATGTACTACTGTGTATTGGATGACGTGACGTTTTGGGTGTCAATTCGGGTCAACGAGTTGGATTCAAGTCGAACCTAACTTGACCTGACCTTAAACGGGCCGACACTAAACCGACCCGATTTTGCAACGGGTCAGGATAGTCAACCTGACCCATGCAGGTTATCGGGTTGACCCGACCCGACCCGTGAGGGAGGGAAGGCGACAGTCTTTGACATGACGGCTCTCAGGCTGGACAGTGACATCTCAGGAAGGTTCGGGACGGCGGCATAAATCCGGCATCTTGTAGGCTGGCAGTGGCATCTCATGTGGGTTCATGACTGTGGCAGGCCGACAAGCCATCAATTGTAGCTCAAGTGAGATGGCGGCAAGACCACGAGGCCTGAGCGACGCGACATCACCTTGATGCCTGAGCGATGCGATTGACGCAACCCTGAGCTGCTGATCGACGCGATCGACTCATGCATGATTACAAACGGGTCAATTCGGGTTGAACTGCGGGTTTCCGGGTCAATTTGAACCCGACCTGTTTCACAAACGGGTTGATTCAAACCCGGATTTTTCGGGATGGGTTCGGATCGGATTTCGGGTTATGCTAATTTTTGATATTCATACGTGACTCGTCTTGATTGACCTTCAGATGACCTCAGGTAATAATCTATCCAAATATATTGTAGTAAAAAAAAAAAAAAAAAAAAGAGGAGAAAACCCATTTCTATTGTAAAAAAGCTGTTCAGGGGCTAACCTCGCAGCTACAAGGAATAGCTATCATATCGCTCCTGCTGCTGCTGCTGCTGCTGGCCTCTAGGAATCTCTCTCCCTACTCCATACTCACTGAATGGAAACCCTAGAATCGAAGTTATCTCGGACTTATTTTCGATTCCATTGCGAGGTATATGTTCTTAAATTCTCCGATTACTTGTCGCGTAAAATGGACCGGGTTAATCAGATTGTTGGTTTTTTTTTTATACCGGGCAAGTTTACGGTTGAATTCGTCCGTCGACTGTAGGTTCTGCTTCAATTCGGATTCTGATTGTAAACTTGGTTTTTAGGGAGTTATAGGATATTATGATTTGCAGGAGTGTAACGCTTTTGGTTCTTCTTGCAAGTGCCAATTTCCCAATTTGGATTTGATTCGTGAAATGGGTTTTTTACAAAATACTAGGTCTTCTTTGTCTCTCTTAGTTTTATGCAAGCATTTGATATGCCCTTCTTTGCCTGAATTGGTTCTTTTTCTTTCTCACGATGCTTCTTGTTGAGTTCGAAATCAAAGGAATTTTGTTTAAATGATATATCTTTTTTGAACCAAAACTATCTTTATTTATTTATTTTTCCATTGTGGCTGAAGGTTTATCTTTCTGTTCCTTTGGGAGAAATGGTCTAGCCTGGCTTAGTTTCTCGGATGCTAAGTTTCCCTCAGTTTTGAAGAAGATAAGGAGATGTACAGAGGGGGTCTTGACAGATTTAAGAAGGCCCAGTCTCTGGAGCCATTCTCAGTGGCCCTCAATTCTACTCCTAGTACTGCATCTTCTAAAACAAACAATCAAGTTCTAGCGCAGCCTAACCATCATGAGAACTCACTCCAGCAGAGCCAATTGCCGCATCAAAAACATGGTGCATCAAAGCCTGCGGCAGCTGAAGTTGCAGTTCCTGCTCAACCTGTTACTCAGGTTGGTGGAGGTCAGTCAACCTGGCAACCTCCAGATTGGGCAATAGAGCCCCGCTCAGGTTTTTATTACCTAGAAGTGATGAAAGATGGAGATGTCCTTGATCGAATCAATTTAGATAAGAAAAGGCACATATTTGGGAGACAGGTCCATACTTGTGACTTTGTGTTAGATCACCAATCGGTTTCTCGACAGCATGCTGCTGTTATACCCCACAAGAATGGAAGGTTTGGTTCTTTTGAATCAGCACTTAAATCTCACTGATATTTCTACTTTAACCCTCACCTCCACCCCCACACCAATGCCTATTTTGATCTTATCTTATGTTAGTCGTAATTATTGTCATGTTATTTCAACAAGAAAATTATCTATGATTATTTTTTTGGATAAGAGATTTTGTGCTTTGTGATCATCAAGTGGCACTTGCCCTCTTTTTAGCTGTCAAATGTATGATAGCTAGAGAATCTTTTCTGCTCAACACAGAATTGCTGTTTTAAGTTATTAGCAGTTGTTAATTGCTTTGTCTGGTGACATCATTATATAATTTTTTTATAAATAAGCTTTAAGTTTTATTTTGATAACATCTAAACATCAGCAAAAAATTTTAACATCTACATGTCATGTTTTCTAATTGATAAAATAAAGAAAAAATCATTATTAATATTTGTCATTCTAAATGAATTTAGATTGTTTAGTGTTGTTTTTAAAACAAATACGCTGCATTTGATAGATAACATGGTTATTAAAATAGCACTATTAGTCATATGACATTGTTATCCATATAACATTGAAACAAACAAGCCCTAAGCTTCATTATTAGCAATAGCCTCAATATTTGAGAGGTAGATCTACTCTCCACAAAGCCCAGGTGCCGCTAACAACAACTCCAAAGAAAATTACTCCAAACACAAAATCACATAATTAAAATAAAACAACCTAATTAATCTTAAAAATCTTCATAATTCCCTCCCAATCTAAATTTAAATTAGCCATCTTTCTCTAAATGAATATTTCTAATTCCCTTCCAATTTCGATTTTGTATAGTAAGTAATTAAAGGTAGAATTAATCCCCTTTGAGCCCCCCTCTCTCCTTGCCCGTCGCCCACACTAGTGGGGCTCACAAGGCTCTTTTGCCCGCCAGCTAGACTGGCCCCCTTGTTGATGCCGGGTTGATTGGTTGGATCGGCTCAGCCGGTACTCCCCTCCTAAAGAGTCACCTTATCCTCAAGGTGGAATGAAGGAAACTGCTGTTGAATCATCTGATATGGTTCCCATGTTGTTTCATAGTCGGGCTTATCCTTCCACTCGATCAATACTTCTCTAGCTCCTCTGGCTATCGAGCAAACTCTTCTCACTTCCATTGAATCCAGAATCACCTCCATTTATTCTGTCAAGGTTATCGATAACGTCACTAATGGATTGTGGTTGCTAATAACTTTACTCATCTGGGACACATGGAATGCAGGTTGTATAGTGGAAGTAGGGGGTAACTGCAAACGATACACCTTGGCACCAATCTTCTCCACAACCTCATAAGGCCCATAGTACCGTGGAGATAACTTTTCATTTTTTCTTCGAGCTAAGGTCTTTTATCTGTAGGGTCGAATCTTCAAATACACCTTATCACCCACCTCGAACTGCACATCTCTGCTATGCCCGTCAACTTGCTTCTTTATAATTTCTGGTGCCTCAGTAGGTGCCCCTTAGTTCAACATCCTATCTCATTCCTCCAATTGTTGTTCCACTGACGAAACTGGAGTGCTCTTGGTCACATATATCAGGTGAGGAGGGTCTTTGTCATAAAAGATTTTGCAGGGTGTAGCCTATGCTGCACTATGGTAGGATATATTGTACCAGTACTCGACCTAAGGTAACCAATTCACCCAGGTCTTAGGTGTTTTTGATACAAAACATCTCAAATAAGTCTCTACACTCCTGTTCACCATCTCGGTTTTCCCATCATTTTGTGGATGATATGTTGTACTTCTTTTCAAAACGATCCCCTGCATCTCGAATAACTATCTCCAGAAGTGGCTCAGGAACATCTTGTCTCTATATGACATTATGAACTTCGGAATTTCATGTAGGTGGACCACCTCTCAAATAAATGTTGTTGCTACTGAAAACGCCGTGTATGAGTGTTGCAGGGAAATGAAGTGAGCATAATTGCTCATCCTATCACAAAATCGCCTAAAACCCCTCCGATTTTGGCAGACCTTCAATGAAATCAATGGTTATCTCTTCCCATACCTTCTCGTGCAAAGCTAAAGGTTGCGAAAATCTTATTAGAGCCATTGTCATATATTTGTGCCTCTGATAAATATCGTAGCTGGACACCATCTCCTTCACATATTTTTGCATTCCAACAACCCAATACAATTCTATTGCCTGCCTTCGATAGATATTATGTGCCCCCGAGTGCCCTCCTATGACACTACTGTGAAACTCCCGTAGCAAGTGGGGTACATATGGTGATGTCCTCGGTATCACTATTCGCCCCTGGTATAATAGTCTCTGATCGACTAAGATATTTCCTGGATGGCTATCCTTGTTTACCAATAAATCTCTCATGATTTTCTCTAATCCTTCATCTTGCTGACTTTCCCTTTTTCAAAGTCTCTTAATCCATAACTAAGGGAACAAACAATACCATCATGTGGTGCTCCCACATAAACATGGATGACCCATCTGGAGCCTGATTCACTATCCTTGGTCGATATTCGATCTTGAAATCATAACCCAACAGTTTTGGAAGCCACCTCGAATGCTCCTCTGTTACCATCCTTTACCTTCAGAAGAAACTTTAAGCTTATTTGACCAGTCCTGACAATAAAGTGTCACCCCAAAAGGTAAGGTCGCCACTTCTGGATGGTCAGCATAATTTTTATTAGCTCCCTCTCATATACTGACTTGAACCTCACCCTGACAAACAACACTTGACTAAAATAAGCCACTGGTCTGTATAAGTACAGCTTCTAGCCCATACTCCTAAGCATCTATCTCCACTACAAAAGGCTAGTCATCGCCTTCTTCAACTTCTCAAAGGCTTTGGTAGTTGCGTCGCCCCAATTAAAATTATCCTTTTTTTTATTTTCTAGTCAAAAGTTAGGCTATTGAATTGTATATCTTCATGAACTTTTTGTAGTATCCTGTAAATACTAAAAACCCTCTCAACTCCCTCAAGCTCTTGGGTATTGGCCACCTCAGCATGGCGTTGATTTTAGTCTAGTTAGCTGCTACTCCTTCCTGTGATACCACATGCCCCCAAATACTCCACTCTAGAGTCTAGGCTAGGCAAATGAGAAACTCTTCAGATTGACAAATAAGTGGTGGTCCCGCATAGTGGATAACACCAATCCCAAATATTCTAAGTGATCCTCCTCGGTCCTATTGTAAATCAAAATATCATCAAAGAAGACAGACAAAACTCCGCAAATATGGTTGAAATACCATGTTCATCATGGATTGGAAAGTAAATGGAGCATTAGTGAGGCTAAAAGGAATCACTAAAACTCATAGTGTCTCTCATGAGTCCTAAATGCCATCTTGGGAACATCCTCGATCCTCATTTGGATCTAATGGCAACCTGACTTCAAATCAATCTCAAAGAAAAACACCACTCCATAAAGCTCATCTATCAACTCATTAATCATTGGAATAAAAAACTTGTCTGATACAATCTCTTTGTTCAACGCCCTGTAGTCCACGCAAAACAGCTAACTACCATCTTTCTTTTTCAATACTAGCATTGGGCTGAAAAATGTATTGACGCTGTGTTGAATGATCTCTACCTCCTACATCTACCTGATCAATCTCTTGATCTCATCCTTCTAGATTTAGGGACAACCATACTTGTATATAGTGAAAAATGGCGAGCACAGTAGGGCGGCGCGGCGCACCTACGGCATCAGCTGCATGGTGAGGCGCATATGTTCAAGTTGGCACGCGCCATTTGCGCCATGTGTGCACAATGGCACATGGTATGCATAATTTGAATTTTAGGAAAATTTTAATATAACTATAAATAGCTTTTAATATTTATATATTTTAATTTTTAAAAGAATGTAATAATTAATTTTAAAATTATTTGATATGATTAAAATAGTTTAGTTAGGTTTTATTATACTTTATTTAAACTTTATTTTAGTAGAAATTTTGGACGAACTTGAAGCTCACTTTAATGGTTTGGACTTTGGACCACAAACATATTCAACCAAGTCTTATCCAACTTAATTGATACTCTAAAGTAGGATCCATATAATATTTTTTATAATTATTTTTTATTTTGCGTCATGTTCAAAATGGCGCACGCCACTCTATGCGCTATGTGCCATGGCTCCACAAGGAACTTTGCGCCGTGCTGTGCCATTCACCATTGATAAGTATGGGGATAACGGTATGGACGAACACTGATAGATGAGACTCTTTTCTTCAAGATGATAGCATGCCCGTGCTCCTATGGAGGAGGCAACACCTGAATTGGCTAAAACACCTCTCGATATTGTTGTAGGAGTGGCTGAACCATATTTGGTGCTTCTATTTTCTCTTCATCCTCTTTTCCTTTCAAACTCTGTAGTTCCACCAAAAATTTCCCTCCATACTAGATTTCACTCACCATGATTTTGAGTGAAATCATAGTTTTGGATAGGTCAGCATCCCCTCTAATAACCACTCTCCTCCCCTCAACCTTGAACTCCATCGTTCAAGCCTTCCAATCAATCTTGGTCTTCCCCAAGCTTTGCAACCACTTTATTCCCAATATCACATATGTGCTCCCCAAATCCAATGGAAGAAAGTCTTCTAATACTTGAACCTCTAGAATGATTAGGGATCACCCATTTGGAAATTCATCTACTACTTTTCCTATTCTCAGCATAACCCCAAAGCCCCCATGTCTACTAATTTCAGTCCCAACTAATCCACCATCCTCTTGGAAATGAAGTTGTGGGTAGCTCCACTATCCAGTAATACTACCATCTTATGATGTTTGATCTTCCCCTTAACCTTCTTTGTGTGGTTCGGTGTGAACCCGACCACTGAGTTAAAGGATACATCTGCAACGTCTAAGTGCAAGTGTCTCTTCCTCTGCTGCATCTTCCTCCTTATCACAGATTATTTTGACTTGTAATGAACGATCCTTGCCATGGTGGTAGGGAGCGAATTTCTCATCACACCTAAAACATAATCCCTTGACCCTCTTCTCTTGAATTTTGGACTCAGTCACCTC